CCACCGTCAAACATGGAGGTGGAAACATTATGCTTTGGGGGTGTTTTTCTAATAAGGGGACAGGACAACTTCACCGCATCAAAGGGCGATGGACGGCGCCATGTACCGTCAACTCTTGGGTGAGAACCTCCTTCCCTCAGCCAGGGCATTGAAAATGGGTCGTGGATGGGTATTCCAGCATGACAATGACCCAAAACACACGGCCAAGGCAACAAAGGAGTGGCTCAAGAAGAAGCACATTAAGGTCCTGGAGTGGCCTAGCCAGTCTCCAGACCTTAATCCCATAGAATATCTGTGGAGAGAGCTGAAGGTTCGAGTTGCCAAACGTCAGCCTCGAAACCTTAATGACTTGGAGAAGATCTGCAAAGAGGAGTGGGACAAAATCCCTCCTGAGATGTGTGCAAACCTGGTGGCCAACTACAAGAAACGTCTGACCTCTGTGATTGCCAACAAGGGTTTTGCTAAGTACTAAGTCATGTTTTGCAGAGGGGTCAAATACTTATTTCTAGGGGTGTAACGATTCGTTTTAACAACGATTCGATTTGTATCACGATTCGTGGTTGTCGATACGATTCAAGGACGATATTGGTTCATTTAGAACGATACGATCCGAAACGATTCAGTGACTTGAAATCGATTCAGTAACCTTTTAGCCAAAAATTCAACCAGTGTGACTGAAATAAATACCTGGATACTGGACAGTGCAGGTGAAGTTTCCTAGATTCCTGTTTCTTGTAAGGACCGCAATGGTGGCTTGATAATTTCTCGCTTGTCGACTTCTCCTCTGTCGTCCGCCATGCTATGTTTTGTTGTCTTTGCGCCTTTGCGCTGCTGCTGGCGCGGGGCGATGACGTCACGGATAGGCAGACTGAATCGAGTAATGTTTAAAGCCTTTATCATTAAAAGTGCTAAGAAAAAACATCCATATAAAGTCTGACGTGCTTAAATCCAATGGGTTATTTCCTAGTATCGATACAATCTATTTATTACATTTTAAAACGATGTTAGATTGATATATGTTGTCCAAAAGGCCAACTCGCCGAGCACAGATCGATGTAGTTGGATCATAGGAATATAAATCGATACATCGATGTAGTAGATGGATCGTTACACCCCTACTTATTTCCCTCATTAAAATGCTAATCAATTTATAACATTTTTGACATGCGTTTTTCTCGATTTTTTTTGTTGATATTCTGTCTCTCACTGTTCAAATAAACCTACCATTAAAATTATAGACTGATCATGTCTTTGTCAGTGGGCAAACGTACAAAATCAGCAGGGGATCAAATACTTTTTTTCCTTCACTGTAGCTAGTATCACCTAAAGAATGTTAGTTACAGTAGCTAGCTAGAATAATAAGTAAAACACTTCAACAGGTGAAATATTTAGTCAGATTAGCTAGCAATTTGTCATTAGGCTTTTAAAGGGGAAATCAGCAGTTTCTACATCCATCTTTGGACTTTTAAATTAATGATATATACCCATTGATTCTTGAAGATATAACTTATAAATGCCGTATGAGCTTAGTTCAACTGTCATACCCCACAAGAACCCCAAATAAAAGCTTGTTTTACTCCAATGTTTGTAAACAAAGTAAATGTAAACAAACACTGTACAGCCTCAAGCTATATCATGGATGGTCAGTCCTTGCATCCATAGCTCTGGCTATGAATTTGAGTGGTAACATTTCTCCAGCCCCATCCCATAGCTTTTTACCCGAACAGGAACATGGAAGATGCTTTATTGTTTCTACTGCTGATTGCCGCTTTAAGTGCTTTTCATTTGCTTCATATTGTAACCTGCAGTAGGCTCTCTATGTGAGTGCAGTATAATGAAAAGACTGGCTCCTATTACCCTGAACAAGGGCTTTTGGTCTTGCTGGCGAAGGCTAATTACCTTTCAGTTAGACCAAAAGGCCTGAAGGCTCTTGTTCAAAGACTAGGAAACACTTACATACACCCATGTTACAATTGAATATGTCTTTGTTGTTTTTGTAGGAAGACACCTCATACAGTCGTATGAAAAAGTTTGGGCACTTTGTCCAGACAAAGATTTTTAGTGTAGCAATATTTAGTTGTATGAAATTAAATCAGATGTGAAAAATAGGCTATGCAAAAATGTGGGCACCCTTGTCATTCTGTTGATTTGAATACCTGTAACTACTTAGCACTGATTAATTGGAACACACAATTGGTTTGGTGAACTCATTAAGCCTTGAACTTTGTAGACAAGTGCATCCAATCATGAGAAAAGGTATTTAAGGTGGCCAATTGCAAGTTGTTGTTCTCTTTGACTATCCTCTGAAGAGTGGCAACATGGGGGGCTCAAAACAACTCTCAAATGACCTGAAAACAAAGATTGTTCAACATTATGGTTTAGGGGAAGGCTACAAAAAGCTATCGCAGAGATGTAAGCTGTCAGTGTCCACTGTGAGGAACATAGTGAGGAAATGGAAGACCACAGGCACAGTTCTTGTTAAGGCCAGAAGTGGCAGGCCAAGTAAAATATCGGAGAGGCAAAGGCGAAGGATGGTGAGAAGGTCAAAAACAGCCCACAGACCACCTCCAAAGACCTACAACATCATCTTGCTGCAGATGGTGTCACTGTGCATCGTTCAACAATTCAGCGCACTTTGCACAACGAGAAGCTGTACGGGAGAGTGATGCGGAAGAAGCCTTTTCTGCACTCACGCCACAAACATAGTCGCTTGAGGTATGCAAACGCACATTTGGACAAGCCAGCTTCATTTTGGAATAAGGTGCTGTGGACTGATGAAACAAAGATTGAGTTATTTGGTCATAACAAGGGGCGTTATGCATGACGGCAAAAGAACACAGCGTTCCAAGAAAAACATTTGCTACCCACAGTAAAATTTGGTGGGGGTTCCATCATGCTGTGGGGCTGTGTGGCCAATGCCGGTACTGGGAATCTTGTTAAAGTTGAGGGTCGCATGGATTCCACTCAATATCAGCAGATTCTTGGGAATAAAGTTGAAGAATCAGTCACAAAGTTGAAGTTACACCGGAGCTGGATATTTCAACAAGACAACGACCCAAAACACTGCTCAAAATCTACCCGGGCATTTATGCAGAGGAACAAGTACAATGTTCTGGAATGGCCATCCCAGTCCCCAGACCTGAATCTGTGGGATGATTTGAAGCGGGCTGTCCATGCTCGGCAACCATCAAACCTAACTGACTGGAGATGTTTTGTAAGGAGGAATGGTCCAAAATACCTTCATCCAGAATCCAGACACTCCTTAGAGGCTATAGGAAGCGTCTAGAGGCTGTTATCTTAGCAAAAGGAGGCTATACTAAATATTGATGTGATTTTTCTGTTGGGGTGCCCAAATTTATGCACCTGTCTAATTTCGTTTTGATGCATATTGCACATTTTCTGTTAAGCCAATAAACCTAATTTCACTACTGAAATATTACTGTGTCCATCAGTTATTTGATAGATCAAAATGAAATTGCTGATCCAAACACCCAATTATTTATAAATGGAAATCATGGTCATGGAAATTGTCAGGGGTGCCCAAAGTTTTTCATACGACTGTAACGTCTAACATCAGGGCACCCTTGTGTCTTATGAACGGGGTATGAAAAGGAGGTCCTCAGCCCTGGTGACGGAGGCTGCTGCAGCTACAGGACTGCCTGTGTCTGTAGTTAAGGTATGAAATGGAGGGTAGGTGTGGGTGGGGGGTGAGAGGGAGGTGGAATTAGGGACATGTGACTACAAGGTTGGTGGATTTTGAGGGATTTTGGCAAGTGGGATTGGGGGGTCAAATTGATTTCGGGGAAAGAAATAGGCTGTGTTCTGATACCCTGCATCCAGAAGTGTTCACACTTCCATTTCACCTCATGCATTTAAAAGCATTGGATTGGTGCAAGCATAATGGGGAGACATTCCACCACAGCACAAGACAACTGAATGACCCCAGGCCAAGTGTTTTCTTTCCTAACCCCCTATATTATTAGAATATTGTGAAATAAAGAATAAACAATCCACCACCTGAAACACTGCGGATTAGGCAGGATCAGGCAACAGTGTAAAATCATGTTTAATTATGGTACTGTAAACTGCATTTGATCAACACAGAAGTTATACAGTGCTATGCGTGAATGTTTTTAGTTGAGTTACGTCTAATGACAATGCTTTCCTTTCAAATTACAGAACTGGATTGGTAACTATGGGCGTTCACTTAATACCTCCTGCAACACCCAGCGCCGCAAAGCTGCTGGTTATAAGCGCAGTGTGTCTGCCTATAACTTGTTCTGCGCAGAGGTGCTGAAGGGGAAAGGTATGTATTCTCAAATTAATGTTTATTCCAACATAAAAAATGTAGTCCTACATTCTGATGTGAAATGTTGAGAATTGCTCTATCACTTTTACCTCTCCATTCCATAATGCGTCTTTCCACAGAAATCCTTTTTTAGTCTGAAAAATATGATATGTTCCTCATTTCAAATAAGAATGTTTCCTGCTGGATTATTTTTTAAAGGGTTTTTAAAGTAAGAGTATTATTTAAATAATGATATTAACTGGCCACTTACATATTTTGGGTTTTTTTTTCCCCCTGATTCACTACTACTAATAACAATAATTCATTTTAATTGGGCGGACACCTTTCAGGACACTCAAGGACATCTTACATTAAAAGTAGGCCTACATAAAATAAAATGTGATACATAAAGTCATAAAATCAAGTGCATCAATCAACAGCAATATGAAATCTAAACAATCTAAAATCAAAGGACCAGACAAAATAGGACAGATAAATAGAGGAGGGAGGTGTTGGGAAGAGGATACAAACACGGTTTAGGGAAGGGTTTGATTTAAGGTGGTAGGCTAACCGGTTTAGGGTAAGGGTTTGGTTTAAGGTGGTAGGGTTGGGAATTGGAGATAAAGGCCCGGGCACCCATGGTGGAATGGGGGGGAGACAAGGAGACCAGCAGAGGAGGAGCGGAGGGAGGGGGCATAGACTGGGAGAAAATCAGAGGTAGGTGGGTGCCAGGTTGTGGTGGGCTTTGTAGGTGAGGAGGAGTATTTGAAAGTTAATACAGGATTGCACAGGGAGCCAGGATTGGTTTGATGTGTTCAGTTGATCTGGTGCTGGTGTGGATTCTGGCAGCAGTTGGAACCAGTTGGAATCTATTGATGAGGTTGGTGGGGATCTGGTGTGGAGAGTGTTACAGTAGTCTAATCATAAAGTAACCAAGGCATCTGGTGATGAATCTTACAGTAGTCTTGTCAAGAAGTAACCAAGGCATGGATTAGGGTTTCGTGCTGACAGTGAGGGGTGGAGCCTGGAGATATTGCGGCGGTGGAAGAATGCTGTCCGGGTGCTGGTTTTTATGTGGGGTTCGAAAGAGAGGGAACTATCCAGGAAGACACTGAGGCTTTTGACTTGTGTTTACAGAGGGATGAGGAAACCATCTGTGGTGATGCTTGGAGAGAGTGGATTTAGAGCCGATGAGCATGACCTCTCTTGTTGCTGTTGAGTTTGAGGAGGTTCATGCTCATCTATCTTTGGATGTCGTGAAGGCAGCTGATGAGGGAGGGGAGTGGTGGGTTTGGTGGAGAGGTAGATCTGGGTGCATAGCAGTGGAAGTGAACTTTAGGATGTTGCATGATCTCGCCCAGGGGAAGGAGGAATATGGATTCATCTGACAATAAGCATTCATGGTTGAGGAAGGTTTTTGCACATTAATGAGTGATTTACAGGAATGAGGTCCATGGTTTGAATCATAAGTGAAAGTTCAATACAAATCACTTATCAATCCATAATCATTCAGCAGTTGTGAGATAGATGCCCATGTAAGTAGTAATGACACTGTATCTAGTCACACTGCATCAAGCTGCCCTCAAACCTATATAACTAGTACACAGTAATAAATGCAGTATCAACATTGTTCTGAAACATGTTGGCTGGAGTTGTGCTGTGTGCTGTTATCTAATAACCAATACTGCCAGACTGTAATTACATAGCAGTTACATAGCAGTTATTATGGAAATACAAAGTGATGCCATGTTTCCTAATTTGTTTCCAAGTGAACAGTAAGAAACATTTTTTATCCAGCCTGGCACTATCACACCTGAATTGACTGGCCAATGAATCACAAAGCCCTTGATACAGCCTAATGCAATTAGTTGTATCTGCCTGAGATAGATTTCAAATAGACAGCAGATTTATTTTCTGAATCACCAATATCTTTCAGCACCATTATTAGAGAGTCACATCTCTATAATCACCATTGGAGCGCTCTGCAATAATATCACACAATCTTCAGCGCTAACGCTCATACAATGATCCTATCACCAATATATACTTATTAGCTTTCACTTTATAATAATAATAATACTAATATGCCATTTAGCAGACGCTTTTATCCAAAGCGACTTACAGTCATGCATGCATACATTTTTTTTGTGTATGGGTGGTCCCGGGGATCGAAACCACTACCTTGGCGTTACAAGCGCCGTGCTCTACCAGCTGAGCTACAGAGGACCACACTTTAAATTAGAAACAGCAATACATACAAAGGTCATAGGTTTAGGGTTGCGTGCCCAGGGAGAAGGAGAGCTGATCCTGGCTGGAGGTCATACTTTGACCATACTTACGATTCAACTACCAGGCTGCCATTACTGGAAGTTTGGTGTATGTCACCTTCACTTCTCTTGTCCTCTCAAGGCAAGCCAACCTTTACAAATATTGGGAATCTTCTGGCCACTGGGAAACACTGGAAATGTATGGGGAAAACCCCACCCACCAATAACAAGTTAGTCACACCAATAAAATAGCTGACTTGGTATTCCGTAATGTTTAATTAGAGAATAATTTAAAAGTGATTTGTTTTATTACACATGTACTCTTCATTACATGAAGTAATTTGTTTTCCAACATATTTAGAAAGAGGTTAAGCTACGCATGACTAAGTCGTGTGACTAAGTCGCTCAAATGTGTCAGCTTAATGGCATATAATATTATATGTGGACTATAATATCTTTATAATATTGATACAGTCATGGGTCACGTGCATTATTGTGTGCTTATAACCGACTGTATCTGGCCTGTTAGTCAGTTGAATATCTGGTCAAATAGTGAAACAACATGGTGTGTTTGCCTTAGCTCTGTCACGGTAGAACTGTGTCCCGTGGCGCTGGAGCAAGAGCGCCCATTGTCTTGTACCACCGCATCTGTACAATAAACCGGAGATTCGTGCCAGTTTTTATAAGTTTTTGTGTGCTATTTTGGGGGACTGCACTGCTAAAAGCAACGTCTCCTATGGAGCGGAGCCTGGTGCAAGGAATGATGAGGAGGCCATTGTTAGAGGAGTGCAGTAAGCAGGTCGGAATGTAGGAGTGCAGAAGGTCAGTAAGGTATAAGGGTGCCAGTCCATTGAGTGCTTTGTAGGTGAGAATGAGTAGTTTGAAGGTGATCCTGTATTGTTCAAGGAAGCCAATAGCTCACGACACTTTCACCACAACAATATCCTCTGTTATAGTTGACATCAGTATACAATATACACATCTACATTGGCCATGCAGCATTTACGGGTGATATGACATCAGCAGAAGTCAGGGCATTCATACTTCTTGCGTTTGCGGAGCAGTGCAGAGCTGTTGTCAAGGAAGTGAGTTTGTGTTTTCTACCGTCAACCAATCATGTCAATGCGGAGCTATACAGAGCCCTCCCCATTGTTACAAAATCTGGGAGGCGCATGACGATGTGGTACAGAGTTCGATTTGGCCTCTGCATGCCTCTGGAGGCTCTGCAATTGCATCACACCCTCCATATGTAGCCTCCAACCACATTTTCAGATCAAGCATGAATTGGCTTTTAGTCTAGGCCTCCGCAATGGATTACTTCACTGAGACGGGCGCAAATATATATATAAATTATATATATTTTTACTGCTCGACTAAAAGAATATCGGTAGACCAACAGCCTAACGACCAAACAATCGACCAGTCGACTAATTGGGGTCAGCCCTAGTGGAGTTACAAACAGACTATACTAAACAAGATAAATGTCTGACCTGTGATTAAATGTTTTCCAAACACATATCTATGTGTAGCCTACTTGTACACCGGGTGCCCACATTTCCCACTCTCCCACCCAGAATAGCCTGAAGCCACAGGGCTCTTCTCGCAGGCTACATTTCTCTATGTGTGAGCATTGCGAACTGTAGGTCGGGATGTTTTACCTGGTTACATGTACCTTGACCAACACAGCAGCTTATCGGCATATTTTGTTATTTACGTATAACTAATCGACAAAGAAGTTGTCTGTTGTGGGGGGTCAATGGGAAAGAATCTTTGTTTTCCCCAGTTTGTGGGCGTGGTCGAGGGGAAATCCTTAAAAAGAAATGTGTGAACAATTGTTTTTTATTGGGTCACAGGGGCAATACAATCATAAAAATAGAATTACACTTAATTTTTTATTTTTTACTCACGCACCCTCCCACCCATTCCAAACATACCCCTGGCGGCCCCAACAGGTCAGACTCCAGCTTCGGCAAGACTTCCGTAGTGTGGCAGACTGTGCCGTGGATTTCTGCACGTTCGCAGCTGAGAGTGCCTGGAACCCAGAATCGGTGTTGGACACGTTCCTGCACGGAGTATTGGAGGAAGTTAAGGACGAGCTAGCATCCCAGGAACTACCGACGGATCTCGACTCGGTCATCGCCTTGAACATCCGGATCGATGGGCGGTTACGAGAACGTAGGAAGGAGAGTAGGTCCGATTCCACTTGCCCGCCCAAGGATTCCACCCCGTAGGTCCCCGACGTCTCCGTTGCCGAGAGAACCCGAGGCTACCCGAGTTCACCCGAGAGTCTCAGAAGTCTGACGATCCACCTCTTCCCGAGCCGATGCAACTAGGCAGAACTAGGCTGTCCCCAACCGAATGTCTACACAGGCTTCACACGAAGAGTTGCCTGTATTGCGGGACTACTGGTCATTTCGTGTTTTCCTGTCCACTAAAAGACCAGGCTCACCATACGGATAACTGTTCCTCTCCCCTTACTCGCACCCCTTTCCATGCCATCCTGCTGTGGGGGAACCAGTCGAAATCTCTCCGGGTACTCATCGACACTGGAGCCGATGACAGTTTTATGGACGCTACCCATGGATGATAGAGTGCTGGACGGGTGCTCTATAGGCCGGATCACCCACAATACCACCTCATCAAACTATGAGTGTCAGGGAACCACAGCGAGGCTATTCCATTCATGCTAATCAAGTCTCCTCAGGTTCCCGTGGTATTGGGATTCTCTTGGCTCCAGCGACACAATTCCCTCATTGACTGGACTGTTGGTGCCATCATGGACTGGAACCTGTTCTGCCACGCCCATTGCCTGAAGTCAGCGCAGCCTGCCCCGGGACATCTTCCTGGGTGCTCGGAAGTTGCCCCGGAACTCTCCGCCATTCCCACGGAGTACCAGGCCTGGGCCACTTCGCTTCCCCAGGCACCACACCGCCCCGGGGACGACTGTACTCTCTGTCGGGTCCGGAGACCAAGGCTATGGAGACCTACATCGAGGACTCCCTAGCTGCAGAGTGTATCCGTCCTTCTGCCTCCCCCGCCGGCTCAGGCTTCTACTTTGTGGAGAAGAGGGACAAAACTCTGCACCCATGCGTTGACTACCGGGGCCTCAACGACATCACGGTGAAGAACCGCTACCTGCTACCACTCATCACCTCGGCCTTCGAGCCTCTCCAGGGGGCCAACGTTTTCTCCAAGATGGACCAGCGGAACGCTTACCACCTGGTGCTGATATGGGAAGGGGATGAGTGGAAGACTGCCTTCAACACGGCCAGCGGTCACTACCAATATCTGGTCATGCCATTTGGCCTCACCAACGCTCCAACTGTGTTTTTTCCCGCTCAGCCCAAGAACACGTGCTCCATGTCCGACAGGTCTCCCAGCGCCTCCTGGAGAACCAGCTTTTTGTGTGCGAATTCCATCACTCCACAATCCCCTTTCTTGGTTACATCATCGCTGCAGGGAATATACAGATGGATCCCGGGAAGGTGAGAGCGGTGGTGGATTGGCCCCAGGCTATATCCAGAGTGCAGCTGCAACATTTCCTGGGATTTGCCAACTTTTATCGACACTTTATCCGGGGTTACAGCACCCTGGCTTCCCCCCTGTCTGCACTCACCTCTCCCAAGGTTCCATTCACATGGTCCCCAGCTGCTGACTGGGCATTCCGGGACCTCAAGCACCACTTCACCACAGCTCCCATATTTCTTCATCCTGACCCGTCCCGTCAGTTTGTGGTGGAGGCCAATGCTTCGGATGTCGGAGTGGGGGCTGTCCTGTTCCAGCGTTCTGCCCTGGACCTCAAGTTACATCCCTGCGCCGCCTTCTCCCATCGCCTCAATGCCATGGAGAATAATTATGATGTGGGGAATCGTGAGCTTCTCGCGGTGAAGATGGCGTTGGAGGAGTGGAGGCACTGGTTGGAGGGGGCGGAACATCCGTTCATTGTATGGATGGACCAGAAGGAACTGGAATATCTCTGCACCACCAAGCGTCTCAATTCCAGGCAAGCTAGGTGGGCCCTGCTTTTCATCCGGTTTAACTTCTCCCTCTCCTACCGACCGGGATCCAAGATTATCAAGTCAGATGCACTGTCACGCCGCTATAGCCCCGCGGCAACACCCTCGGACCCAGAGACCATCCTTCCCACCTCGTGCCTGGCGACGGCATTCAGCTGGGGAATAGAGAAGCAGGTCCGTGAGGCCCACTCCTCCAGGCTTGCCTGCCACCCGGGCTCCCGTCGGACCCTGGCCTTTGTGCGACAGTGCTTTTGGTGGCCTACCATGGTCCCTGACGTCTCCGCATTCGTCGCCGCCTGCAAATCTGTGTGCAGAACAAGACGCCTTGGCAAGCTCCGGCTGGTCTCCTTCAACCACTGCCTGTCCCTCACCATCCCTGGTCTCACATATCCCTGGACTTCGTCTCGGGTCTCCCCCTGTCTGATGGCAACACCGTCATCCTGACAGTATTGGACCGGTATTCCAAAGCCGCCATTTCATTCCTCTCCCCAAGCTACCCAATGCCAAAGAGACGGCCCAGCTCATGGTGCAGCACGTCTTCCGGATCCATGGACTCCGGGTGGACATGGACTCCGCCTGGGGTCCTCAGTTCTTGTCCTGGTTCTGGAAGGCGTTCTGCACACTCATTGGGTTGTCGATCAGCCCGTCTTTGATGGGAATTTTTGGTTAACTACTCTGTCTCACTTAAGGCCAGACAACATAACCAACCAATTATATGAATTATGCATGTTGAACAGTCGTGGTCAAAAGTTTTGAGAATTACACAAATATTAATTTTTACAAAGTCTGCTGCCTCAGTTTTTATGATGGCAATTTGCATATACTCCAGAATGTCATGAAGAGTGATCAGATGAATTGCAATTGATTGCAAAGTCCCTCTTTGCCATGAAAATGAACTTAATCCAAAAAAAAACATTTCCACTGCTTTTCAGCCCTGCCACAAAATGACCAGCTGACATAATGTCAGTGAATCTCTCGTTAACACAGGTGAGAGTGTTGAGGGCTGGAGATCACTCATGCTGATTGAGTTAGAATAACAGACTGGAAGCTTTAAAAGGAGGGTGGTGCTTGAAATCATTGTTATTCCTCTGTTAACCATGGTTACCTGCAAGGAAACATGTGCCATCATCATTGCTTTGCACAAAAAATGCTTCACAGGCAAGGATATTGTTGCTAGTAAGATTGCACCTAAATCAACCATTTATCGGATCATCAAGAACTTCAAGGAGAGAGGTTCAATTGTTGTGAAGAAGGCTTCAGGGCGCCCAAGAAAGTCCAGCAAGCGCCAGGACCGTCTTCTAAAGTTGATTCAGCTGCGGGATCGGGGCACCACCAGTGCAGAGCTTGCTCAGGAATGGCAGCAGGCAGGTGTGAGTGCATCTGCACGCACAGTGAGGCGAAGACTTTTGGAGGATGGCCTGGTGTCAAGAATGGCAGTGAGGAAGTCACTTCTCTCCAGGAAAAACATCAGGGACAGACTGATATTCTGCAAAAGGTACAGGGAATGGACTGCTGAAGACTGTGGTAAAGTAATTTTCTCTGATGAATCCCCTTTCCGATTGTTTGGGGCATCCGGAAAAAAGCTTGTCCGGGAAGACAAGGTGAGCGCTACCATCAGTCCTGTGTCATGCCAACAGTAAAGCATCCTGAGACCATTCATGTGTGGGGTTGCTTCTCAGCCAAGGGAGTGGGCTCACTCACAATTTTGCCTAAGAACACAGCCATGAATAAAGAATGGTACCAACACATTCTCCGAGAGCACCTTCTCCCAACCATCCAAGAACAGTTTGATGACGAACAATGACTTTTCCAGCATATGATGGAGCATCATCATAAGGCAAAAGTGATAACTAAGTGGCTCAGGGAACAAAACATC